ATTACAATTTCAATAGCTAATACCGGTAATGTCTTGTTACAATAACAATGTGTTACCTGTATTGTTAAAAATCTAACATTAATATTGAGACTTTTCAACACAACTTTAAGTTGAACATATATTTACAATAGATGGAGTTTGTGTTATACTGTAATGCTTCGTTACAATTGTAATGTGTTACTGCAAAATGTAAATCTGTATATTAACTTTTTATTTTATCTTTTTCAATCTATTTTTTAAAAATACAGAAAATATGGGTCTATTTAAAAGAGGTATGTATTTTGTTAATTTATTTTTTCTTTATGTTGTCTTAATCTAATCTATATATATTCAATCAGTTTGGCCCAAAATCTCCAAAATCTGTGAAGTTTTAAAAAAAAAATTTCATCGCCCCAAATTAGGTAAATTTTGACCATCTCTTTATAGGTTTAGATAGACGTAAGGTTTTTAGAAAAGAAAAAGTTCAAATCATGTTAGTAAAAGTTTATTTTTGAAACAATATTTTTTTCCCCCCAAAATGTGCCGTTGTTTGAATGATCAATGCTTTGAATCAGATTATTGAAAAAATTGTTTTTTTTACTCAGGATCAGGCGTCAATCACATTCAAAATAATCAAGTTCAAGAAACTATTAATCAATTGCAAGACCAAGTTGAACGATTGAAAACCGAAAATCAACAATTGAAAACCGAAAATCAACAATTGAATGATAAACAACGTTTTTCGAGGTTAGAAATATCTCGTTTGGAAGAAAACTTAAAGTGGGCAAACAAACTTATAGAAAAACAAGAAGAAGTTCAGCAAAAACAAGAAAAAGTTCAGCAAAAATACGAAGAGACCGTAAATTCTTTTAGAAAACGATTCGGGGAACTAGAAGCAAAAATTGCTCCACCAAATTCTCCAGAAAGCAGCTCAGATTAAAAAAAGTATTTGCTGTTCCGTACAAAATGAGTAGTCTATTTAATCCAGGGTTTACTGCACCCAAACCGAATATATTCCGTCCGATTGGTTCACATTTATCATCAAGAATCTCAGTTTCATCATCACCAGGCAGTAATTATAGCATTGATCATGTTAATGCAGAACAACAACAGGTACCACTGACACAAAATCATTGCTTCGGTGCAATTGGTGCACAATTGAGTGCAAATTTATCATCATTTAACGATTTTGCCGCAAGTTTAAAATTCAACACCAGCAGTTCCTTTTTGTTCAATCCAAATGTATGCGGTAGTTGTGAACGTCTTACACCAGAAAATCATTGTTTTGATTGCAGCAGCACTACTGTTTCCAACGCCATTGAACATCGCGATCAAATGGATTTTTAAAAAGGAATTCAATTCTTATATTTTTTTATTCAACTCTTTTACCAAAATGAAATATTCTGATACTGTTTTTCAAAATAAAAAATAAATTTAAAAGCGAGAAGAATAAAACATTGTTCAATTTTTTCTTTCTTTAAACAGCCATAGTGGCCTATATGAAAGCCCTGGTCACTGGCCCTGTACGGAGGCTATAAGTTACGAAAACTTGAGCATCGAGTGAATAACTCCCCGTTTAATCCAATATATGAAAATCGAGTCAGATTAAATTCAAATGAAATTAGAATTGTTTATTGGATGAAAATGAATCGATTTGAGTCATTGGAGCACTTTGAAAAGTTGATTTTCCTACGAATGAAAATCGTTTTGTGAATACACGTACTATGAGGCCGAGCGTTGTCATGATGGAAAATTATTGACTCATGTCTGGTCGCATATTCTGGCCGTTTTTCGTTCAACGTTCTCTTTAAACGGATCAATTGTGTTCGATACAGGTCTCCCGTGATCGTTTCACCCGGTTTTAACAGCTCATAATAGAGGACACCCTTCTGATCCCACCAAATACAGAGCATTACCTTAGTACAATGAATATCTTGCTTGGGCGTTGATTTTGCTCGTTTACCGCGCTTCCCATACGATTTCTTACGCTTCGGTTTTTCGTAATGAATGAAAACATCACCAGTAACAATTCGATGCAAAAACGACTTCTTTTTGTGGCGCTCAAGCAGCATTTTGGACATGCAAAATCGTCTTTCAATGTCTCTTGGTTTCAATTTATGTGGTACCCGATTTCCTTGCTTTTGAATGAATCCAAATGCTTTCAAACGTTTTGAAATGGTTTGGTGAGTTACTCCTAATGATTTTGCAAGTTCTTCTTGAGTTTGACACGAATCTTGATCGAGTAATACCTCCAATTCTTCATCTTCAAACTTTTTTGGCTGCCCAGGACGTTCTTCGTCTTCTGTGTCGAAATCACCACTTTTGAAGCGCGCAAACCAACGGTGACACATTCTAACATCTACAGCATAGTCAGGATAGGCTTCAGTGAGTAAACGATGTGCTCCAGTTGCATTTTTCTTTAAACGGAAGAAGCAAATTAAAACTTCCCGCAAATGATCTTTTGTTGGAACGAAATTCGACATTTTGAACGCAATAAAAAACTTGTGTGTATAAACTTGTATTCACTTTGACAGATGGAATTTAATAGTTTTTTTGACGCTATTTAACCCTAAAACCGTCCATCGGGCACTCAGTGCCCGAGCAAAATTTCAAACTAAAATTAAACCATTTTTTTTTCATAAAACATCACCAAACCCCGATTTTTTTCGTGTTGTCGGCCTCTGTTCCTACTCAAAAATATAAAATATGCATCTATTCACGCCATGGTTTTCGAAAAAATGGCCGGCAAAAAAAAGATGGTCAATTCGTCTTTGGGGCACTCAGTGCCCGACGTATATTTTCATATATTTTGTATGGGAAAATTGCTGAATTGTAAAAAATGTTTGTGCACGAATGAATCGATTGTTCTCATATACAAACATATATACACTTGTTACGTTGTTCGGTGTTCCGTGTGACATTCAAATAAGAATAATAATTTATTATAAACAAATTGTGTTTTGCATTGAAAGGCTTCGATTTACTTGTACATATACACAACAAACATGTCTCGTGTTCAATTCATTTTTTTATTCATTTATATGTGAATTTCCATACTCAGATAAATTTATCAGAGAAAACTTAAAGGCAAACAGTGTAAAATGCCATTTTGAAAATGAAACTGGTCGAATTCATCGGTACCGCAAAAATTTGTTCAGCCAATATTTATTTTATTTTGTCAGCACAGTATACAAAACGTAGCTGCCGATCTGCTGCGTATATTCATAACTTTAGTTTACGGAATGACACAATATTTCTCAAAATATCGAGAAAATTCAAAATAAAAAATTGAAAAATTTCCATTTTTTCATACAAAATATACTAACGGGCACTGAGTGCCCCCAAGACGAAGTGATACAATTTAGTAAAAATTTGTTCAGCCAATATTAATTTATTTTGTCAGCACAGTAAACAAAACGTAGCTGCCGACTCGATGCGCACATTCATGTCTTTAGTTAACGATTAGACACAAGATTTCTCGAAATATCGAAAAAATTCAAAAAAAAATTTCAATTTTTTTAATTTTTTCATACAAAATACACTACGGGCACTGAGTGCCCCCAAAGACGGGATTAAGGTGGATTGCAGAAGGACGGTTTTAGGGTTAAGATACACTTGTTGTCACTGTCAAAAAAATAGCGCGATACATAAGAAGTTGACACAAATACGACATTTTTAAGTTGCACTACCAATATTTCTAAAATTTCAAGATCGTAATGAGCGTTGTAGTTTGGGCATTTTTGTGTTGGAATGTGGTGAATTCTGTTTTCAGTGAAACGCCATCGCTAGTCGAAAAGCCTGATGATGAACAATTGAATTTGTTGCCGATCAATGGTCGGGACTTCCTCAGTAATATCACAAAAGACATAAGTGGCAAACCATGGCATGATGATCGGGAACAAAATTACATAATTCGCTGTCTTCGACCTGCAAAATGTGAACGAATACAAACAAATACATGTTTTGGCAGTAAAATTCCATATAAACACCAGCGGCCAATTATCGGAAGAAGGAAATCAAAAATCGAATATAAAAAAACTAAACCAACTCGAAGCATTGCGAAATGTACCAAAGTGTTGGGAAGTGATTCAGGTAAAAATGTCTAAAACCATAACCATAAAGAACATTTGTTTCTAAGAAATCCCTTTCTTCATACATTTTGTACGATAACAACATACTTGTGTCTTCCACGTGTTATTTAGCCATTTTTATGTGCAGTTTATTTGCCTAAATGCACAAAGAGCAAAGGCAAAGAATATGTTTATTTGCCATCGTATGAAGTGTGCCAATCAACCGTTGAACCATGCCGAGTTTTGTACGATACCGACTTCTTTCCGAGCTATCTCGCAATTATTATAATATTTACACCAATTTCTAGTCAGTGTATTCCACCATTGGTTGCAAGTGATTCGGCGATCAATTACTATCCAGGTAATGTTTGAATTCATGGTTCATCAATGTCGTTCAAAATGCGAATTGATCATTTTCATTAAACATCAATAGATATCGAAGGATGTGGTCTTCAATGTAGAGATCCTATGTATACGGATGGTGAGCATGAATCAGTACAAACGTTGATCTTTTGGGGCGCAACACTTTGTCTGGTTTTTTGTGAAAAAAATAACCTGTGCAAAGTTTAACGCCATTAGGTAGAATACAGACATGGCTCCCATACAAAAATCCAAATTTTTTGTGACTTTAGCTATGAAAAGTGTTTCAAAAATATTTTTCATGGCAAAATTAACGTCAGACATATTTTTTATAGTGTTTTGTTAGAAAATAGAAAACTTTCAAATGTTCTTTTTTCAAAAAAACCTTTTGCGAGTACTTCTGCTATTAAATTAAAGAATATTTCGTTGCCAAAGTTGGAACATATTTTTTGGTCTCGAACTTTACGCCGCTTGAATGGCTTGAAAAATCAAACAAATATTATTTTGGACTTTCCTAATGAAATACGCAACTACTACCGTGCGAAAAAGTTCGTCTTACTCCCGTAAGACTCTTTTTTTTTTTAACGAAATACGGAAATTTATATCGAAATGTTTTATTCATAGATACTCAAGACTTTTTGTAATGTATTGACTTTTGAATCTCTATGTTTAAATAAAGATTTATTCTATAAAATTTCAAATGATCATTTTTTTTTCATAAAACAGTATAAGGTTTTCCTCAATTCCAAGCAGTACAGTGCTTGTATGTGAATGATGCCATTAATCACTTTTTTAAGGTTCTACCAGATAATGTTGTTATATTTCTTCCAGTTCATTGATATGACATTTTTGAAGGTTGACCACAATAAAAAATCATCTTGAACCACAAAACCAATGAGCAATTAATAAATTGAATTATACAATATGCAACTGGCACCTTTGATTAGGTGATGACTTTTTTTCACTATTTAATTTAAGCGATTTCAATGTAATTTAATAATGTATTAACAAGAACCATTAAGTATGAACGTAGATTATGTAAATGATTATATCGGTAAAGCTACAAAGAAAAAAAAGTATCATTTAGTGCTGATAATGTGTATTCGTGATTCAAAATATCTGTGTTTGTTTCAATTGCAATTAAATTTTAAATTAAAAATCCATTAAATTCTAGAGAATTCTTTAACTAAGCCATTTAGTTCCCGAAATAATAGCAATAAAGTAATTGATAGCTGGTTGAGATTTTTGTAATTTCTCAACCTATAAAACGGTTTTCAACAAACATCCGTATGAATATGAACAAAAGATCATTCTGAGTAATTCACCGAAAAAAGCATAGCTCACGCATTGTCCTTTTGCAAAGAGAAAAAAAATGAAACAAATAATCGTTGAGGTGAGAATGCATTCAATAGAAAAAAAATGAAATTAAGATATTAGGTTGCGTGCACTTACCATTGGCATTGTATCTATAAAGTATAGAACATGAAAACATCCAATATCTTTTAATATTTATTAGGATTCATCTCAATAAATACCGTGTTCACTTGATAGCATATTGTTATTCAGCTAAAAACAACTTTCAACAGATGGCGCTACCTCAGACAAGTGAAGCGACCACGGTATTTATTAAGATGAATCCTAATAAATATTATTATAAAACATAATAAGTATTAGGATGTAATCCTAATAACTTTATTATGACTTTATCATGATAAGTTAATAAAATCATAATAATGTTATTAGGATCCGATCCTAATAACGATATAGAACATAATTATTATTATCGTAATAAAAATTTATTACGATATCGCAAAACGCAAAACTATAAGCCAGCCTGTGCTTAAATGCTCAATGTGTGATTAGAAATTCATTTGCACATCAAGCAACAGTCCCAAGTCCCTTATTACAAAGACTCTTTCAATTTGAACGCCGCCTATGTTGTATTTGTATTCATATTGCAGTGATCCCCGATGATATGATATGATCTTTGTTTTG